ATTAGGCTGGAATATTGTATGATCAGAAAATTTAACTAGATTCAGTAACAAGGGCAATCTACATGTTTCTGATATAACCCACTAAAAAAGGGGGAGACCACACCATGGCTGTGTTAATGCCCATCCTCAACTTCTTCAACAGTAGAGTAACACGTATCTGATAAAACAAAAATTCTGCAAGGAGAGAGAATAAAATTATTTGTAAAATTTTTCTCAGCACAAGTTTTGGTGACCCTATAAAAGCCATATGCTTGCATAACCCCATGATATGTACTGAGTGTGAGTACATGCAAGTAACAAAGAGGGCATACAATATTGACCAAAATATAAATATAATACAATATATAATCTCTTATAGCTCTACAGATACCATTGCCATCAACTGTTTTATTTGTCAACATCTTATGTGACCTGGGTTATCCTTCCATTCTGTCTGCAGTAGAATTCCATACTACAGTAATAGTTCCAATCACTCACAACATGTTACAGCATTCACTGGGCCTCTAAAAAGTTAGGAACCAAACATACTACATTATATGACATAATATGACACATATATTAGGTTATCTAAAGACTTAAAGTTTCACCTAGATATCAGATATTACAGGAGTCTACAGATTCTGTTATATATACTGGTGAGTTTGTGGGCCGATGACTCCATGCATGCAAATTTCTGGAGTGGGTAAATGTAAAACAGAAATGAAACCCTGTGATTTTATTTGCTTCCTTGCTTCACTGTTGGCTTAAAAGTTCATAAACAAATAGTAAAATTGTGTTAGCTATGCCAACTATGGTGTATAAGGCTCAATGGTACACAGTGTATAAATAGTTGTTCAGCAACTTTGAGTTAGCCTTGTTCATATCTAACCATTTAAAGAGGTCTTCTGTTAGACCTTTGCAAGTAATGAGTGATTTTTTTTTAACTCACAGACCTCAAATTCCATTGATAAATTATGCAAATATCACTGTTTTTCTGAACATACATCCCAGGAACAGATAAGATATCATATAGGATAAACTATTCATCCTTTCTGTTTTGTTTTACATTTTCCCCACATTACAGGTCACCATGCTTCTTCAATTTATAACCTCATCTAAGCGCTGCTCTTGGTGAGGAGGATTTGGGACCAAGATTCCCATCTCTACTTTCTAAGCTGCCATGTGGATACATTATTTCTAGTAAACTTTATAGTTTCAATGCCTATGTCACAGAAAATAAATTAATCTGTTTCGGCAATGTTAATGCTCTGTATCTCTTACTTTAGCCATAAGAGAAGTAGAGGCCAAACTACTATGGAATTAATGCCAGGCAAACCTTTCCTCACTATAGGAGAACACTGAATGTCAGAAAACAATGTTAACTAACAACAGAGAAAAAGCTATTATCAGCAGCCTTCTAAGTACTGAACCCAATGAAAAGGCAAAAGACTCTCACATAAAACTAGCCAATATTAGTGTCATGGAGGTAGTCAGTACTAAGAAGATAATTGTACATGCCCTTCCTTACTTTCTCAAACAAATGTAACACTTAAATCCATGGAACAGAACTCAGACTAGAAATCTTACCCCAAGACAAGACATTCATAGACTTCAAAATTTTTATTTGATCACATGATACTGTAACCTGCTAAATTTACACAGAAAATGTACTGAGAAAATATTGCCTCAAATAACACTTTAGGAAAGAAATGTGTCGCTGCATTACATAAAGTCAGTTTCCACTTTTGTGTAGGAAATACTTGAAACATCATTATGAGAATCTATCATCACAATAGAAAAATGAATTCACACATATTAGAATTTATTGTGCCTCTCTCCTAAATAATGGGTTATATTGAATTATGAGAGTCCAAATTTTTAGGTTCAAATTCCATTTTAGAAAACCTGACCTAAGTTTAAACAAACAGTTACCCACCTGCAACAAAACCTGAGCCTAACTCCAATTTCCGGGCTTCCTCCCACAGCAAGACCTGAATCTCCAGGTTATACTCCCCAATAAATCGAGTGTCTAGCACCAGTCTCTAGGCTATTCCCCCCAAAAATCTGCACCCCTAGATTACAAGCCCATCCAAGCCTAACAACCACTAATCAGAAGGAAAGCAGAAGTTAAGTTTATGGTTTGGTTCCCACCACTAGTCAATTTTGCTAAAGACCACAGTAGCACCCCCAAAAGACACTAACTAGGCTAGAAAAATTCACCCCTTCCTGCCACTTTCAATAAAACCTTGTCTCGGGTGAGCATTTGGTGCTTGTCTTCACTGGAACCATCCTGTGGTTTGGAGGTGAGTTGACCTGAGCTCCAGCTTGTAAATAAAGATCATGATGTCATTACACTGCATTCAGCTCCCTAGTAGTCTTTTGGAGTTCATGAACATTTCGGCACAACATAATAGCTTTTAATATTTTCATCTTCTCTTTTCATTTTTGTTCCTGATATGGCTGTAGCAAGGTTATAGCTTGGTAAATAGTGGGACTGTGAAATGGTCATGTTTTGCTCTCAAACATGCTTCTATTTGGAAAACCTTATGACCTCAATACGAAAGTAGATCAGAGTATTTATACTGCCTATAGATTTAGTAATGAGTTTTATTTTCATCATTTCCAGTCTTCTTTATTTTTTTACTTTTTTTAAATTAATAATTCCATTCCTTTACATCTCAAATGATATCCGACTTTTTGGTTTCCCATCCACAAGCACCTTTCTCTCCTCTCTCCTGCTTACCTCTATGAGGGTTCTCCCCTACCCACCCACCATCTCCTGCCTCACCCCTCCAACATCCCTCTGCTGGGCCATCAAACTTCTACAGGATTAAAGGTCTCCCCTCCCATTGATGTCAGAAAAGTCCATCCTCTACTACCTATATGTCTGTGGCCATGGATCCAGCCCTGTATACTTCTTGGTTGGTGGTCTAGTCCTTGGGAGCACTTGGCGGACCGACCAGCTAATGTTGTTCTTCCTATGGAGTTGCAGTTCCCCTCAGCTCATCCAGTACTTCGGCCAGCTTCCCTACCAGGGTCCCTTAGCTCAATTTGATGGTTGGCTCCAATCATCCACATCTGTATTAGTCAGTTGCTGGCTGAACCTCCCAAGAAACAATTATCCTGTCAGCAAATGCCTCTCGGCAAGGTCAACAGTGTCGGGTATGATGTCTGCAGACAGGATGGATCCCCAGATGAGGCAGTTCCGGATAGCCCATCCTTCAGTCTCTATTCCATTCTTTTGTCCCTGTTCTACCTTTGGACAGGAATATTTCTGGGTTCAAATATTTGAGATGGGTCCACGGCCCCATCCCTCCATGGAGGACCATGCCTATTTAACTGGAGGTGATCTGTACAGGTTCTACCTCTCCTTCTCTGCTAAAATCATCCCCGTTGGATCCCTCCAGTGGGTATCCTCAGTTCATCATCCCCCCACTACATATTTTTATTCGATTTCCTGACCCTCTGCACCTCTCTTTTGTCCCCTCAGGTAATTGATACCGCTCCCCTTATTTCCTCCCCTCCTCTTTCCCTCCAACATCCCCTCCTCTCCCTCCTGCAATCATCCTGTTCCCCCTCAATGCAGGACTGAAGCCCATTTCCAGGATTAATGTATTGATATACATATCTGTTCACTCATTCATTTATAAAAATATTTCACATCCTGAGTGTCGGACTCAAAGAACTAGCAGTCAACAGTAAACAGAAGTATGATGACATCATCTTAGACAGCATTGCTGAAGAAAATACATAACTATACAAAAATAAGATATGGAGATTTCAAATGTTAATATTTAGAAAATGATTTTTCATAATGCCAAGATCAACCAGTTACCTAGAAATCAGTTACTGCATAAAGTAACAGATGACAGCCTTCTCTCAGGACAACTCACCATCCAACATTTTTTGCAACAAAACATTTCATGCAAGTAGTTCTGTCATTAGTTTATTTTTATTCATTTAATTTGATACACGTTTTATTTCAATTTTGCCTATCATTTAAAAAGAATCAGTTTAATTTTGAATCTTATTAAATAATTATAAGTTTTATAGTGAACTAAGGCATTCCAAACTTGTTATAAAATATAATCTGATTAATAGTGATGTTTTATAGCAATATTTTTATAATGTCTGTATTTAATTCATTTAACATTAACTTCCTTGAGTTCCATCAGGAAGCAATTACATATTACAAAAATTCATGCAACTATTTTCTTAACTTTATGGGATTGAATTTTCTTCATAAGACAATCAGGATGCTGACTGTAGTAAAATACTGGTGGTACCTGATGGAATAAGAAAAGCAAAACAATAATATCTTAGTGTGATGTTCAATAAGCAAACTCATTTTCATGGATTTTTTTTTCTAGCAGTAAAATTAAACAGGAATGTGGTTTGTGACAGACAACTATCAAGAAATGTGTACTATAATTCCAATTATGAAATACATATTCTGAATAGCGTTCTCTATGGTCCAAGTGTTCTACATTATAAACTAATAATACAGCATAATTGAATTAAAACATAATCATATAGTCAAGGTTCTGAGATAATTCTACTAACATTTTAGTCCAATATCTTTATGTAATTCTTAATTTGTATTTAAATAATGTTTATTTTCTACATTTGGATTTATTTTTATGAGTATAAAATTACAAAGTATTATTTTTACTATATCTTGCTTGCATATATATTGAACTATGATTTATATTTTATAAAATAACCACTTCAAAAATCTTAATTAAGCATCTTAATGCTACTAAATTATGTCAGCTTACTTAAGGTAGTCTTACATTTAGATAGGACAACATCATATATATGTTCCTCTGTAAAATAATACTAATATATATTTGTGAATATCCAGATAAATTTCTAAGATGTTTAGATAACATTGATCATAAACATAACTAATAAACCGAGCAATATAGGATAGATAAGCTTGAAAGTATGCTTTGGTAACGCACAAGAATTTTCTTAGCTAAGTTATTTTCTTCACTACCAAAGAATATTAACAAAATATATCAGGGAACCAATGTCTGTACATCTTTGGACCTGCACAGAAGCCACCGCAGCACCAAAAGAGATGCTTGCCTCAGCTTACGGTTTCTCAGAATCAGGATGCATGAATGAACTGAAGGGAAAGTAATCATAATAGAGGCATAAAACAGAGTGTTTTTCTCTTGAGACACAGAGGTCCAAAGTTGTATGGCAAGAGACAAAAAGAAAACTATGTAGAACAGAAGAAAGGCCACCACCATGTACAAGGTCTCTATATGTGCTGCGGTGCTGAGGTCTTTGAAGTCTTTAGCATGGTACTGCATGTTCTTCAGGTGTCTCCACAAGGAGAAGATGAGGAGCAGAAAAGCCAGCAGGGACACAGTGAAGGGGATGAGTGTGAACATTGTGTTTATTAAAAGAGAGAGTCTGAAAAATCGAGTGTAATTCTTTGATCTGAAATCAAAAGAGAGGTTTCTTTTGGATTCATCTTTCCAGATATCGATATGTATGTTCAACACTAGAATATTCAAAAGCAGTAAGACCTGAGAGACCAGCAATGTCACTGAAACCACTTTTTTAAATCTCCATCTTAAGTAGAGAAAAATATAATTTGAAAAACTGGCTATCTTGAGAAAATAAAAGATGCTGAGACATGTAGCAAGCCAAATGCTGAAATGGTTTGCAACAATCCAGGTGTTATATTTTATTCTTACCATTTTCACAGCCGTTTGTAAATCTGGATGCAGTGAAGATATTAGTGTAATGAAGAATATAGAACATACCATATCTATCCTGGAGATTGCCAAGGCAGTAATGATCTGATCCACTAAGGAGATTTTTCTTCTCTTCACCCAGTCTATGATGTTCACCAGTGCTATGAATCCATTTGCAACATTCCCAATTATGAATTGCACAATGATAATAACTGCATATATGATCTCTATGTCAATACCCATCGTCCATAAGAGAAAGTCTTGATGTCTGTGATCATTGAAGAATTAGTTACTGTGTATAATTTGTATACTTTTTCTGGAAATTCATAACATTCTTCTAAAACTTCCAATATAATGACAAACAATAAAACATCAAGATTTATCAATGTAGGTGAACGTAGCTGTATTTATGCAAGTATTGTTTTTTGACATGATCCCACTGAGTTACATCCAGATTCTGTGTGTCCCATAGTAACCTGGAATCTACTGCCTCTGATGATGAAGGAAAGGCTGGGACCTCAATGCTGAAATGTAAATAAAGGCGTGTTGATTTGCATTGGTTTCCTAGTTTTTCTTTCTTTACATATTTTAATTGACAATTTGAGTTCTGGGCCAGAAATATTCAAAACATTCTATGACCTTTGGAAAGCAACAAAATTATCAGAATATGAGAGTTCTTAAATATTAAAGACAATTTATACAGTTTAGATTAAGACTGTAAGGGCCTGTCACCAAAGCTCTTCTACAGATTATCACTTATCTAATACCTATTTGTAGAAGATTATTCCTTAAATACATAGTATTAAGAATATTACTTCTTCATCATTTACAACATAAAGTGTCTATACATTTACAACATAAAATATCTATACCATTATAAAACCATACCTATTTGAGATCTAAATTCTCATTATTTTCATTTCTTTGATAAAGATTTTCTTCTTTTTACCTAGCAGTTTTCATGCATTGAGCTTGGGCTTTATTTTTAAGTGATCAGACATTGTTTCAAAGTGTACATTAAACTGTTTAACATTGGGTAATAGGTTCTTTGTACAAGGAAACTAGTAGAAATATATTGTGGCTCCTTAAAATAGTCACTGAGGTGATGAAGCTCATTCCTGTATGTCATATAAAAAGATGAGATACTAAGATTTAGGCACAGAAATATCCAAGATTAGAGAATCAACCACTTCATTTTGACATAACTGTATGAGGGGTCACTTCTCAACTTCCATCTGCTCCCCTAGAACAAAAACATGACCATTGGAGAATAAGAAACAAGATAGCCTTGCACTGAATTGTTGTGACTGTTGTTATCATTATAATCCAACATTAAACTGTTTCAATTTTTCTGCAGAGCCAACATGAACTAAAAAGACATTTATCAGTTAAATATCCATAAAATTTTCATTCTGTTCAATGTATTTAGTTTCACAGTATCTACTTAACAGTGTTTACCACAGAGACAATGTATGAAACCAGCAGAAAGATTACCATGACTGATTAGTTTGTAAAGTGAAAATTTGGTGTGCTTAATATTTTTTCTTTAGAGAAGAGTGAAAGTTAAGTATGGACTGAGAAGAAGGCTAAATGGACAAGGATATAAAAGACAAAGTGAATTTTCTAATACACACAAAAACTTAATCTAGGATACTGAAATGTCATATGGCATATGACTATGAACAGAGACTCATTGATGTTCTCAAAGAAGTCAGATTCATTGGAGTAAAGGAACATCAGTTTTATGGATTAGGTTCATAAATTATTTTCAGTGATGTTTTGTATTCTGTAAATGAAACAATTGGAAAGGCATGTGGAATGGAAATGTTGATATCTTATGTTACCCTTAAAGGGAAAAGTCAAAGAAATGAGATTTATCCAATCTGTGTATGATTTCTTCTGTTGTCAGCAACTCTCCTGGAATGCTTCCTCTTTGATTGATGGAGCAGCTGGCAGACTTGTATCCTGGCTTTTTCTTATGGAGGTCAGTATTCTTCATTCTGATAGTTGCACATGCTAGATAATGTATCTAAGAATCATTTTACTGATTATACCTGAATTGCATCCTTATGTTCTCTCAACCACAGTACAAATCTTAGCATATATTATATTTCCTATGAAACATTCAAATCCCATAGGTGCTGTCTAAATGTTTTAGTTTTATTAATAACATTGTCCTTTTGTATTTGAACTTACTCTTTTCGTTTTACAGTTTTTTCTCTGTGTAGGGAAACTATAACAAAACAACAAGGAGATAAAACAATTAAAAAAATTTGCTCACAGCTCTGAAGTTTAGAAATACAAGGTCAGGGTCCCACGGAACACTTTACTAGAGACATATCTCTCACTGGCATGCTGATATGTCACCTTATCAAGTGATAGTTTCTCTGAGCTTATGCAGTCATTACCAAATATAAGTTGTCCTGATTTAGTTCCTATTTTGTTGAAGTCCTGTTTGGAGTAGGGGCCTAATCCTCCTGACAATTTTAACTATTTGTCACCTTGTGTAGTGCAGGCAGAATTAATGGCATGTTCTTCATTGTTGTTGTTGAGTTTTGTTTTGCCTTGTTTTGTATGGGATTCAAAAATTCTGTCCATGACACATAATCTAAAATAAAACTACTATAGCTATTACAATGAATTAGTTGGAGTAGAAAGTAACAACAGCATTTTTTGAGATTTATATTAATTAATACAATTTTTGGTATATGTTTTGTCAAGAATTCAGAACTATAGTTATACGCCTTTTACCCTGAGAAGCAGGATTCTACTCTGTTACGGATCATAATTTAATAATATTTATCTAATCCTTTAAATAGTTGAGTCCTGACATTAAATCAAATATCCCTTAATAATTTCTATGTTTTAACTTTCAGTTTGCCTGTATTGGCTGCAGTTTCAATCCAATATATGCAAATGAAAATGTGTTATAACATTTCTGTTTAACTGAGTATAGAATTTAGAAACCTACTAGAGGGTTATTTTCATAGTTGTTAATTATTTTTCATTTTGTATCTTAGTTTCTCTTCACATACTATAATAAAATACACTGATGATAGCAAGTTACAGCAACAATAACATAGGTTTATTTTGGCTTACAATTCAGTGACAGAGAAACCAGGGTAGTAGAAGCTTGAAGCAATCACATCAAGTTTTCAGTCAGGAAGCAGAGGAACCAGAATGCTCACTGCTTCACAGCTTTCTCTATGTTTTTATCTCTTCCTCTGTCTCTCTGCTTCTGCCTCTGTCTCTGCCTCTCTTTGTGTCTCTCTGTGTCTCTGTCTCTGTCTCTGTCTCTCTCTCTCTCTCTCTCTCTCTGTGTGTGTGTGTGTGTGTGTGTGTGTGTGTGTAGCACAGAATCCCAACTGTGGGATCTAGACGGAATCAGTAGTCTCACTTCAATTAACATATTCAAGATGATTCCCTATAGACATTGAGAAAACCTGTTTCAAATAGGCCTACATGGAGGGTTGTCTTTCAATTATTCTACATAATACTACAAGGATGGAAATGGAGAGGACCCTCAGAAAAGAAGGTCCAGCACCAGGCCCAAACAGGGATCCTACTCAAGGGAGAGGACCCAATGTCTGACACTATTACTGAGGCTATGGAGTGCTCACAAAAGAGAAACTAACACAACTGCCCTCCAAAAGACCCAACAAGCAGCTGAAAGAGTCAGATGCAGATATTCGTACCCAAACAATGGACAAAAGATGCTGACTCTTGTAGTTGAATTAGGGAAAAGCTGGAAGAAGCTGATGAGTGCGGAGAACCAGCAGTCTCAATTAATCTGGACCCACCCTTCCCAGACCTCTCAAAAACTGGACCACCAATCAGGCAGCATACACCAGTTGATATGAGGCCCCCAACACATATAAAGCAGAGGACTGTCGGATCTTGGTTCAGTCAGAGAAGATGCACCTAACCCTCAAGTGACTAGAGGCCCCAGGGACGTTAGAGGTCTGGTGGGATGGGGAGTGGGAGAGGGAACATCCTTGTGGAGACAAGGGGAGTGGAGTAGGTATGGGATGTGGAACAGTCAGAGTATGGACCAGGAGAGGGATAAAATCTAGAGTGTAAAATTACATAAATAAAATAAAATAAAATATTAAATCAAAAAGTTACCAATTACACTATCCATCATAGATTATATTGATTGTGTTACATTTTTGTTAATAGGTTCTTATATGCAAGAATCAAATGTGATAAAAAGAAAAAGCAGTGCTTTAAATCTTGTATTAGCTTATAACATTGTTTTAACTTAGCAGCAGAGAATTAACGCAAAATCTTCTAAGAAAACAGAACGTACTAAATACTTTTAGTGCATGTTATTAGAAAAGACAAGAAAGATTTGTTGTAGAGATACTTTTGTAACCTTTATCCAAAAACAAGAGTTAGTATTGTGCTTTCTTGTGAAACACTATTTTGCTCTTTAAATTATAAACAGCACTGCCAGTTTACACCATAATTCCTAAGCATTTTGATCATTTAAAAGTATTCATTAAATAAATCTACACCAAAATCCATAAATAATCAACAAGAGTTGTAGCAGTCATTATATTTATATGTAGATGATATGGTGTTTTATCTTCAAAAGAGAATGAGTTTAAAACACAAAGTAAATGGAATAGATTCATAAGATCACTTACTTCTAATTCAGCAAACTAACAAAAAAATAGTTGTATTATCATGTAAAATTTAAATGTTAAACATAATAAACAAACAAAAAAAACCAACAGAACTATGTACTAAAATTACATGTTCAGTTACATTTTTCTAATGATTTTATACATATTTGAATTCATAGTTTTCCCATTAATGTTTCATATAAACTTAAAGAAAAATAGCTCTCTGCCAGTATCTAATTGATGTACTAACTCTTGTCATCTTCACTCACTTCCAAGTAAGCTGTTAAAACATCAGGACCTCAGCTTTTTCAGAAGAAAAGTATCACAGGCACTCATGTGAACACTAACCACACTCTATACAAATTAACTTGCCACAAAAACTTTACGGTTTCTTCTTTCGGTGTCTATTTCATGCATCCATATTTTATTTTAATGCCCTCATTCAAATTATAATGTTTCCAAAATTAGTAAAGAGCTATGAGTGTGGGGTTTCAAAGGAGGAGACACAGAATCCACTGATATATAAGTTTGAAAATAGAACAAGAAGATGTAGCAGTCATTATATTTATATGTAGATGATATGATGTAAAAGTAGTAAAAGGAATACAGTGAGGG